GGATTATTATTCATAATAATAACCACTACCACCCACACTCATTAATAATATACAGTCAATCCTGTCTATTCCGGACACCTTGGTACCCAATAATACCCTAGCTCCTGATTATGAACCTGTCCTTATTTCAGAGGTTCATTAATACACATTACTATTGTATTGGGACTGATACTACCCCTCCTCATTATAGAGGTGTCCTTATTTTAGAGTGTCCACGATAGGAGGAGGCTATACTGTATACATGTACATGTAAGAGCAGTACCTTTAAATAGGATCCATAGTATCTCGTTACGTGGGCACTGTCACACTGAGAAAGGATGGTAATCTCTTGCTGTATGTCCTCAATCTCATCTTCAGCTTCTTCCAAGTCAATGATCTTAAAAGCAAGGACCTCTTTATTTTGATTATCGATACTACGCAACAAATAAACAACAAACAAAACGACAATAATCATTAACGATTGTTCCTCCACTCCCTCCCTCACTCTCTTTTCCAAGTTTTCTTGATTACTTATGTACATATACATATATATATACACTGTAGAGTGCCTTACCCTTTAAATACTTCACCAAAAGATCCTTTCCCAATCTTTTCCAGTCGAGTAAAGAGTACCTCGGGGTCTGCTGACTTACCCTAGCAGTACAGAGTGAGGAGAGACTCGTTAGAAGGGACAGACTTACCAGAGGAGTCGCCATAAGAGAAGGAATATCTCAGGGAGAGAGCAAAATTGTCACACGCCCACTGATTCAGTGTATGTTTTGATACAAACAAGTTGGGCGTGGTCACTAAATCACGTGATCAACAGTATTCATTTTGACGTTTCACATGACATCATAGGATTCTTGTGACGTCATTGTTTGCTCACGTGACTTTCCAATTACACTTGGGCGGGGCTGGGAATTAGGGAGAGATCAGAAAATAGGGCCAGGAACTGAACGGGTCGAGAGAGTGACGGATCGGGTCAAAGACAGGGACTGGTAGCCTATTACTGAGTTCTCTTTCTCGCTACACTCCTCCAGTCCGTGGAACAATTAGCAAATTATAAGTGAGACACTTTAAATATAGTTTGTAATCACTTTAGTACGTGTATTTCCATGTATTCCACGTTATAAAGTTAGCTAATGAGGCGCTGTAGGCTCTGTGTCACATTCCAGGCCCATTTCCTTGCATATTACATGTACTTTAACACTTTCTAAAAATAGTAACATTGATGTTCTAAAAATAGAACACATGCCATTCTTTCATAATACACTCATGCATACTCACTCACAAACAACCAGATATAGTGAATTGCTCATTTTTGTTATAGTAGAGACCAAGAGATGGCTAAGACAGAAAGAGATATTAAATGTGTTGTTGTTGGAGATGGATCTGTGGGTAAAACCTGTATGTTAATATCCTATACTACTAACTCATTCCCTGGAGAATATGTCCCTACTATGTAAGTGAGTGATTGAGGTAACCTTCTCTCTTTAAATCACTACCATCTCTTGTATAAACTTGATTATGTACTATATACTATTGTGTATACTCTCTTTCCTCTTCTCTCTCTCTCTCTCTCTCTCCCTTCAGTTTTGATAATTACACAGCTAACGTTTTCGTGGATGGTAGACCGATAAGTTTAGGACTTTGGGACACGGCTGGACAAGACGATTACGATAGGCTCCGCCCACTCTCGTATCCAGACACTGATGTATTTTTAATATGTTTTTCACTTGTCAATCCAAACTCGTTTGCAAATGTGGCCGATAAATGGTGGCCTGAAATCGGTCACCATGCACCAGGTAAGAGGAGGAGAGGGAGAGAGAGAGAGGGGGGGAAGGAGAGAGAGAGAGGGGGGAGGGAGGAGAGAGAGATTATTAAGATGTGACTGATACTGTAAGAAAGATAAAGATATATATTCATATCTTGTAAGATGTAATGATAGAATCTTTAAATGATCTACTACAGATACCATCATAATATCTAGTATACTTGCCAATACATGTACACTGATTATCATTGATAATATTTATAATTAAAGTCTTGTTTTGTCTTCTCTCCCTAGGTGTGCCTAAGATACTAGTTGGTACAAAATTGGATTTACGAGACAACATGGGGGAACTAGAACGACTTCGTTCCAGAAACCAAAAGCCAATAGCGATAACACAAGGAGAGGCCATGAGAAAAAAGATTGGTGCCATATCGTACAAGGAGTGCTCAGCTCTGACACAAGCTGGGCTAAAAGATATATTTGATGAAGCGATCAAAGTGGTCCTGTTTCCAGAGCAACAGAAAAAGAAGAAATCAAAGTGTCTCATTCTTTAGTCCATGACCTCAAGATATTAATAATAATAATTATGGTAACAAAATAATAATAATAATACTAATACTTGCTATTGATTTTACATTAAAATGAAACATTCACGCTTTCAGTAAAAATGGACTCTCTCATGTGTTTCAAAATATCTTATGTATTTGTATGAATTTCTCTCACTATCTCTCTCTCTTTTTCTTTTCATTTATTATAAGCTGTTGTTTTTGTTTATTTTTGTCTGTCAATTCAAACAACATCTCGTCCTATTCTGGTAGTTTTAATAATTATACTTTAATAATAATAAAACAATAATCATTATTTTCATTCTCTAATCATCACGTGGGTGTGGCTGTTTTGACGTCACACTATTATTACAATTATGACGTAATCGTGGTCAGCCCTGATAATTATTGAATTGATTCCAAAATTCCAACTTAATGGCGATGGGCCGAAGGGGAATATCTAAGCAACCTGTCCTTTTGATTGGCGTTTGTGTCTTTGGGGCCTGTCTCCTACGTAAGACTGGCCTTCTCTTTCTATAATAGTTTTATTTTCCCCCTTTAGTGTTTCTCTTCATGAGAGGTAGGCCAGCTAAACCCGCCCCAGAGACTGAGCGCTCACCCTCTACTGCTACTGGTCTGGATCACCTCAATACTGTAGCCACGACTGCCAAAAAGTAAATATAATATGTTTCCCTTATTTATTAATTTATTTGTTTATTAAAGTGATGACAATGAGCTCAAGTCACAGATCAAGGAAGCGATCAATGAGGTGAGTATTAATAATAATAATTTATTATTATTATTCATTAAGGGGCGAACCCATCAAGCAAAGCTGCTGTGTACATGTACATACAATAGATCTTGATGTAGTTATAGGCTAATGTTGATGTTAATACTACTCCATCATTGTATGACTGAGCTCAGAACTTAACATGGC